GGTTTTACGAATTTTAATGCTTCTGATGTGGTACTGGGTGGGGTGTATTCGCGAAGAGATCTAGCTCCAGCTTCTCCTCACCATGAGCTGAAGTCAATAAGAGTCGACCGTGGAATCGCCTTCATCCTTCTCCTCTTATTCTCCATGTCGCCATCGCTCGCCAGCTTTCGTCTCAAAGTCCTGTCTTCTTTGTCACGAAGAGGGACGAACTTGCCGACGCCTTCGCGGAGAGTCACATCTAAGTAAAGAAATAGTAATTGGCTTTAGGTTCTTGTATTCACTTATTGACGGTGCTTGTGGGATCGACTTTGGTGCATCGATGCCCTCGCTGCGCAACTGACATGAGTAACTTAGTACGAATTCTTTTGATACCTTTGCGTGCTCGATTGACTAATGGAATTGAGAGAAATTAAAACAAATCGCCATAGTGAAAAGAGACTGCGGTAGGCTTGCTTAGTTGTTCCTCACCTCAATAGCCCTTTCCAGTTTATTGGACCCGGGCAGATTAACACTTTAATGCAGGTGGTCAAGTTGGCATGTAATTCGCCCCTCCTATTCTGGTTCTGGGCTCCAACGTACAATGCCGTATACATGCTGTATAGGAAGGGGAAAATAGTCTCATTGAATGTCATGAGGGGATGTGATGATTTATTTTATGGTCGAGCCAATTTTCGTCTATCACTTGACCTTACTGCGACACGGGATGTCCCTTACGGTACATGGCCGACATCACCAGGTGGGATCTGCTAAGAAAAGTTAGGCCGAGCAAATGGGGCAAGATTAAACAACGGAACGGCTTCCACGTAACTAATAAAGCGCAAGAAGTATATTACATGGGAGCAATCTCCCGAAAGACCCTCCACTGTTTATAAGACAAAATCGTCGCCAGCTTATAGCGGACCGGCTATTTGCACGTGAGGCCCAGCTATCAAACTCAAGATTCGATCCCGATCTTGGCTTGTGCATTATTTGATTTTTCGCATTTAAGTATTGTTTTGACGATGAAGCAAATGTATTTTTGCTATAACAATCGAATACGTTATTTTATTTTTCGCATTTAAGTATTGTTTTAAGGACCAGTAAATCAGTAGTATGAGATGTATTCACCCAATTTCGTTAAGGTGATAGTAGAAGAATTTTCCCACAATGATATGAGTAGAGCTGACGTTTCCATTGAATTTCACATAGCCTTGCTTTTCCAAAAGTTGTTCACATCCAGGATGCACTGCAGTTTCGACCTCGCATCGTTCTTATCAACACCCTTAGCGGGGTGTTGGAGAAAATTCTTCGATTACCTTCATCCTTCACCTTAAACGAAATTGGGTGAATAAATCTCATATTATGCATTATTGCCATTGCTCCCCAGGTCGGATGGTTGATATGTCCCTACATTGGGGTTTGAAAGGTCTACTAACACAATAAACCCGATCCTTCCTACATACATCGGAAGGACTAGCAAAATCGTAAGTACGAATTTAAGACCTCAGGCTTATTTTTGACTGAAGGTGGACCTCATATGTCTCCGGACAACATTTTGTTTTGAGAAAATTTCTGGACCTGATAAATACACAAATATAGTAAGGTGGAAATTAATGCACTAAAAGTAGTGACGCTTACTTTGTCTCTGCATGCTGAGCAACCGTAACTTGGCCTCCTCTGCCTCCTCCTCGCGCCGGTTGCCCGGCTTAACTCTGTTTATCTGAGGCCCAGCAAACCCAGGATCCGAATAACCTGCGGTGTCGCTTGTCGACTCCCGGGCCTTAGATGCCATTTTGGAGCGTTCGGATATGAGTAGATCTCGTGCTTCCTTGAAGGGATCGGCGAACACCTCACAACGTATAAGTCTAACTTCCTCCTAGAAAAGAAGTGCATAGAAGAAAGGATGTCAGCCAGGTGCTCTCACAATTAGAGGATCAAGAAAGTTCTAGAATGGGAATTTAAACAAAGCCTACAAAGTCGTAGTCACAAGTCGACGTGCACGTGAAATGAGTCTTCAAATCAAGTTATCATAAAAGAGATTAAATCTACATCAGTACCACTGTTCTGTGAGGCGTCAGCTCATAAAATAATAAGATCAATTAAAGGAATGGTCCAATGCTTTCTGGAGAAAACAGCGAATGAATTATAGTTTCAGCGACCGAACAGAAAAGTGCTAAAAGGAACTACCTCCACTTATCCCCTAGATAAGTAGTGACTGTGTGCTAAGGATGGCGCCTCACTAATGATGTAGGTGAAACGTCTGGGAATATATCAAGTCAACAGTTCGATGCTGGACATCATGAATAGTATGACAAAGGGCGCAAGAGTATGCTCCACAAGGTCTCCCTGTCTATTTGACCAAGTTGCGAAAATGAGGTCTAACCAAGATGGGAGATAAATTAAGCTGGAGCTAAACA